CTTTCCCACCCCCCCCTTTGCTCGCTGCGGAACGCTTCTCCTCGATTTTCGCCCCCTCGTTCGAAGCCCCCCTCTTCACCACCACCTCCTCCCCCCGCTTTATCCGGGGACGCTTCCTCGTGTCCTCGGTACGGATCGTCGTCTTGTCCGAGACCGCCTCGATGTTCCGCTTCGAGTTGGTCGCGTAGTTTCTACGTTCCACGCCGGATCCACGGAAGATCCGCTCTATCGATGGATCCACCTTGTTGCCTTGATCCTCGATCGCGTACCCGCCGGCGTCCGCGTTACTGGGAATAGGGGGAACAACACGAAGGAAATATAGTTTTCCAAGGATTACTCGTTATCTCTTTTCTCTTTCTTTCTTTCTTTCTTTCTTTGTGTACACGAGAGAGAGAGAGAGAGAGAGAGAAAGAAACACGAAGGAAATATAGTTTTCCAAGGAAGGATTACTCGTTATCTCGTCTCTTTTCTCTTTTTCCCTCTCTTTGTGTGCACGAGAAAGAGAGAAAGGGGAGGGAAAGAACACGGAATATAGTTTTCCAAGGAAGAATTACTCGTTGTAAGGGAACGATTCGTTTGAGAATTTGAAATTCTTTCTCTTCTCTCTCTCTCTCTCTCTCTCTCTTTCTCTGAGAACTCGTTCGAGAGAGAAAGTGAGAGGAAGAAACACGAAGGAAATATAGTTTTCCAAAGAAGGATTACTCGTTATCTCGTCTCTTTTCTCTTTTTCCCTCTCTTTGTGTGCACGAGAAAGAGAGAAAGGGGCGGGGAAGAACACGGAATATAGTTTTCCAAAGACGGATTACTCGTTATCTCGTCTCTTTTCTCTTTTTCCCTCTCTTTGTGTGCACGAGAAAGAGAGAGAGGAGAGAGAGAGAGAGAGAAAAGGGAGGGAAAGAACACGAAATATAGTTTTCCAAGAAAGGATTACTTTGTAAGGGGACGATTCGTTTGAGAATTTGAAATTCTTTCTCTTCTCTCTCTCTCTCTCTCTTTCTCTGAGAACTCGTTTAAAAGAGAAAGAGAGGGGAAGAAACACGAAGGAAATATAGTTTTCCAAAGAAGGATTACTCATTGTAAGGGGACGATTCGAGAATTTGAAATTCTTTCTTCTCTCTCTCTCTCTTTGTGTGCACGAGAACTCATTCGAGAGAGAAAGAGAAGGAAAGAAACACGAAGGAAATATAGTTTTCCAAAGAAGGATTGCTCGTTATCTCTTTCTCTCTTTCTCTCTCTGTGTGCACGAGAGCTCGTTCGAGAGAGAGAGAGAGAGCTCGTTCGAGAAAAATTTATTCCGAAACGTATCCTCTCTCGAGAGGAGAGAGAGAGAGAGAGAGAGAGGGAGAGGAAGGGATGGGATGGGTATAATTAAATTATCGTTTCTAAATACCTGGCCGTGTCTTTGACAACCTCTGGAAAGCAATGAGAAACGAAGGATCGGAGAAGTATGGACAGAACAAGGATGTATGCACAATTGAGATGGAGTCGTACGATCATGGTGTCGCAAAGAAACGGGCATCGTAGCGCAGTTTTTTTCTATGAATGGGATTGCGTGCGAGCTACTTTCATATTTTGACGATTGATCATGAGATATATACTTTATCGGACGACGTTGGTGCTGCTTGAATATGGCGCAGGCTCCCTCGATCGAGTACGATCGAGATGTTGCTTTTGTTCGACGACCACGTAGCCATGGCAGCGATCAAATTCGTTTCTAATAGAATCGGATCGGCCGGTCTCGGTCTCGTTCGAGAAACCAGATTGGACGATTGATGAAATATTCGAAAGAGATGAATTAAATAACGCGAAGATAAGCAAAATAATCTCTTTATTGTAACGAGTCGTTAGACACGATCATCGTATGT